GCAAATGCGACCGAGAAACCAAATTTTTATTTATTTTGATTAACTTAAGCTTAAAAATTGACATCTGTTTCAATATATTTGGAACAAATAACAACTTGATTATGTGAATCTGCTTTTTCAAAGTAAATGTTATTACATTTAAATAAAGAGTAAATATGTCTTATGACAATTTAGCATCTGAATTGAGATGCACTCAAAAGGTTGGTGATACAGTACAGGCCACATTCCAAAGATTTTGTGTTTGTAAAAGAATGTGTAAACTTTCATAACTTTTTAATATTGACTGTATGTTGACATAATATTTTGGATATTTTAGATTACTTAAATTAATTTCACCTGTTTCTTTTTACTTTAAAAAAAATTTTATTTTATATTGGCATATAGTTGATTAACAATGTTGTGTTGGTTCCAGCTGTACAGCAGAGTGATTCAGTTATACATATACATGTATCTGTTCTTTCTCAGATTCTTTCCCCATTTAGGTTATTACAAAGTATTGAGCAGAGTTCTCTGCTCTACAGAGGTGCTTGTTGGATATCTATTTTAAATACAACAGTGTGTACATGTCAATCCCAAACCCCCAGTGTATCCCTGCCTTCCACCCTTTCCCCTCTGGTAACCATAGTTTCTTTCTCTAAGTCTGTGAGTCTGTTTCTGTTTTGTAAATAAGTTCATTTGTGTCATTTTTTTTTTTTTTAGATTCCACATGTAAGCAATATCATAGGATACTTGTCTTTCCTCTGTCTGACTTACTTCAGTTAATATGATAATCTCCAGATCTGTCCATGTTGCTGCAAGTAGCATTATTTCATTTTTTTTTAATGGCTGAGTAATATTGTATTGTACATATGTCCTACATCTTTATCCATTCCTCTGTCAGTGGACATTTAGGTTGCTTCCGTGTCTTGGCTATTGTAAACAGCACTGCAATAAACACTGGGGTGCATGTATCCTTTCACTCCTTGTTCTTCTCTAGATACATGCCCAGGAGTGGGGTTGCTGGATCACATGGTAGGTTCACCTACCGTATGTGGTAAAGAATCCGCCTGCGGTGCAGGAGCTGCAGGAGACTCAGGTTCGGTGGCAGGGCCACCCACTCCAGGATTCTTGCCTGGAGAATCCCACGGACAGAGGAGCCGGCGGGCTCGAGTCAGATATAACTAAAGCGACTTGTAGTAGCTCTATTTTTAGTTTCTGAAGAAACCTCCATATTGTTCTCCATGGTGACTGTACCAGTGTACATCCCCACTAACAGTGTAGAAGGACTCTCTTTTCTCCACACCCTCTCCAGCATTGACGATGGCTGTTCTGACTGATGTGAGGTTATACGTCATTGTGGTTTTGATTTGCATTTCTCTAATCATTAGCAGTGTTGAGCATCTTTTCACATACCTCTTGGCCGCCTGTATGTCGTCTTTGGAGAAATGTTTGTTTAGGTCTTCTGCCTATTTTTTGATTGCTTTTTTTTTTTTTTAATTTTGAGCTACATGAGCTCTTTGTAAATTTTGGAGATTAATCCCCTGTTGGTCACATTGTAAGTATTTTCTCCCATTTTGTGAGTTCATTTTCCTTTCATTTTGTTTGCTTTCCTTTACTGTGCAAAAGCTTCTGAGTTTTATTGGGTCCTTTTTGTTTATTTTTGTTTTTATTTCCATTACTCTAGGAGATGGGATGAAAAAGATATTGCTGTGATTTATGTCAAAGAGTATTCTGCCTATGTTTTCCTCTTAAGAGTTTTATAGTATCAGGTGTTACACTTAGGTCTTTAATTGTTTTGGGTTTATTTTTGGGTATGGTGTTAAAAAATGTTCTGATTTTATTTTATTTTTTACAGGTAACTGTCCAGTTTTCCTGGCACCACTTTTTTAAGAGACTGACTTTTCTGTGTTGTCTAGACTTGTCCCCTTTTGTCATACATTAACTGACCCTACATGTGAGGGTTTCTATCCTGATTTTTCTGTCCTGTTCCATTGATTTATGTTTGTGTTTTTGTGCCAATACCATACTGTTTTGATGACTGTTGCTTTGTTGTATAGTCTGAAGTCAGGGATCCTGATTCCTCCAACTCTGTATATCTTTATCAAGATTGCTTTGGGCATTTGGGATCTTTTGTGTCTCCATACAAATTTTAAAAAATTTTTGTTCTAGATCTGTGAAAAATGCCATTGGTAATTTAATAGGGATTGTTCTGAATCTGTGATTGCCTTGGATAGTATAATCATTTTAACAGCATTGATTCTTCAAGTCCAAGAACATGGTATATTTTTCCATCTGTGTCACCTTTGATTTCTTTCATCTTATAGTTTTCAGACTATAGGTCTTTTGCTTCCTCAGATAGCTTTATTCCTAGGTATTTTATTCTTCTTGAAGCAGTGGTAAATGGGGTTGTTCCTTTAATTTCTCTTTCTGATCTTTCATTGTTAGTGTGTAAAAATATCCACAGATATTTTTAAACAGATTTCTATGTGTTAGTTTTGTATCCTGCAACTTTATAGAATTCATTGATGAGCTCTGGTAGTTTTCTGGTAGCATCTTTAGGATTTTCTGTGTATGGTATCATGTCACTGCAAACAATGACAGTTTTATGTCTTCTTTTTCCATTATTTGGATTCCCATTGTTTCTTTTTCTTCTTTGATTGCTGTGACTAGGAATTCCAAAACTATGCTGAATAAAATTGGTGAGAGTCAACATCCTTGTCTCATTCCTGATGTCAGAGGAAATGTTTCAGCTTTTCCTGGTTGACTATGATGTTAGCTATAGGTTTGTCATATATAGCATTTGTGAGGTATGGTCCCTCTATGCCTAATTTCTGGAGAATTTTTGTCTGTATTATAAATGAGTGTTGAATTTTGTCAAAAGCATTTTCTGTATCTATTGAGATGATCATATGATTTTTATTCTTCAATTTTTAAAATTAATTTTATTGGATTGTATTTGCCTTATAATGTAGTTTCTGTGGTGAAACAAATTGAATTAGGCATATGTATACATATGTCCACTCTTTTTTAGGTTTCCTTCCCATATTTTTCAATTTGTTGATGTGGTGTATCACACTGATTGATTTGTAGATACTGAAAAATCATTGCAACTGTGGGATAAATCCCACTTGATTATGGTGTATGATCCTTTTAATGTATTGGCAGATTCAGATTGCTAGTATTTTGTTCAGAATTTTTACGTCCAGGTTCATCAGTGATATTGGCCTGTAGTCTTCCTTTTTGTAGTATTTTTGTATGGTTTTGGTATCATGGTGATAGTGGCTTCATAGAATGTGTTTGGGAATGTTCCTTCCTCTCAATTTTTTGGAAGAGTTTCAGAAATATAGGTCTTAACTCTTCTCTAAATGTTTGATAGAACTCACCTGTGAAGCCATCTGGTCCTGGACTTTTGTTTGTTAGGAGTTTTTTGTTCACAGTTTCAATTTAAGTATTTGTGATTGGCCTGTTCATATTTTCTGTTTCTTCTTGGTTCCATCTTAGGAGATTATACCATTCTAAATTTGTCCATTTCTTCCAGGTTATCCATTATATATATATATATATATAGTTGCTTGTAGCAGCCTCTTATGATCCTTTTTATTTGGTTTGACTTCTTCTTTTTCATCTCTAGTTTTATTGATTTGAGCCTTTGTCTTTTTTTTCTTGATGAGTCTGGCTAAATGTTTGTCAATTTAGTTTATATTTTCAAAGATCTAGCTTTTAGTTTCATTAGTCTTTTACTGTTTTGTCTCTATTTAATTTATTTCTTCTCTGATCTTAATGATTTCTTCCACAGTAAGTTCCTTACATGCAAACCTTTAAGTTGCTAAGTTTAAAAGATGCAGAAGTGTGTTCATATGTCCAGTTACCTAAGTTAGTTTACATGTCTGGTGTACATTGCCATGTGTGTGCATCCTCTACAAGTGGTTGTGGTACTTTTGTGTACTTTACAGTACTGTGTAGAGTACAGTAGTATAGTACCTTTATTTTAAGCTAAATCTACAAGGGGACAACTTCGTTGAATTCATTGCTGTATAACACAAAGAACTTATTGATGAAGACCTAGTGTAACTGGAGGCCCAGAGAAAGGACAAAGACAAAGAGGAGGAAGAAGCAACTGAAGAACAGAAGAGATTCACGACACAGGAAATGGCAAGGGGATTCTGTTTATTTAGGGAGGCACTGTTAGTTTTTGAGGGACAGGGCCCAGATGTAGAGAGGTACATGAAGGTTGCAACAGCCATTCAGTCAGTGCTACTGTGTCATCTGTGGAGAGAAAAAAAGATCTACTACTCAGACATCACTGGCTTGTTTTTCCAAGAGGGTAAATACAGTTGAATCCAGCAAGGAACCAGAACCCATGCCATCAGTGTTGGGCATGAGTGGAGTTGCAACTTGCCCTGTCTCCTCTTCCTGACCGTACTTCAGTTCCACCATCTACCACCTCCGTTCCCTCCTCCAGTTCTCGACTGTGTACACAGTGCCCCCCCCTGTATGCCAGGTGTTGCGCTATACTACTGTTCTTTTCAAGTTACTGTACTGTAAGATTTAAAATGCTTTATTTTTCATGTTTTTTTAATGTGTTATTTGTGTGAATAGTATTACAAACCTATTACAGTACAGTACTATATAGACAATTGTGTTAGTTACGTACCTAGGGAACTTTGTTGGACGTATGAACAAATTGGACTTACAAACTCACTCTTGAAATGGCACTCATCCATATGTACTTTACTGACTTTTCAATTTTGATGTTCTTTCTTTAGTTGCTTTAGGTGTAAGGTTAGGTTGGCTGTTTGAGATTTTTGTTTCCTAAGGGACAATTATATTGCTATTAACTTCCCCCTTAGAATGGCTTTTGATGCTGTTTGGATCATTGTGCTTTCATTTTCATTTGTCTCTGTGTTTTTTCATTTTCTCTTGGATTTCCTCAGTGATCTATTGGTTGTTTAGTAGCATATTGTTAAGCCTCCATGTGCTTTTGTTTTTTATTTATTTATTTATTTATTTATTTTTTAATGAAAATTCCTTATATTTTCCCACCAATTATTTATCAGTTTGTGTTTTCAGAACTTTTATAAAAGCATCTTTTGGAACTTCAACATTGCCAACTTTCCTGAGTTTTTTCTTTCCTTCTGCTTGTCTCTTCAAAAGCTTCATTTTTTGGGTAATATCACCACCATAACATGTTGCCAAAACATTTTTCCTATAGGCTTTCACAGTTTCTCTTGCAATGATTTTACTTCCAAGAGCAGCTTGAATTGCTCTCTCAAACACCTGCCTAGGAAGAGAATCCTTCAGACGTTCACATATGGCTTTGCCAACAGAGTATGCTTTATCTTTGTGTACAACAGTTACTAGCTCTTCTACAATATTTCCATTCAGTAGAATATCCATTTTTACAAGTTCTGCAGTCTGGTAGCCTGCATCTTCATAATCAAAACTAGCATATCCTGAAGACAGAGATTTCAAAGAATCATAAAAATCCACCACAATTTCATTCAAAGGGAAGAGATATTTAAGCATTACTCTATTTTGATCAATAAACATCATATTCTTCTGAACTGCTCTTCAAGCCTGGCAAAGTATCATTATTTTCCCAGTATATTCATCTGGTGTGATAATGGTGCCCAAAACAACTGGCTCCAAATATTCTGTTACTTTTGACTTATCAGGGAACTGTGCAGGATTGATGATTGTAATTTCCTTTTCTCTGTATTCCTTTATCAATTTTGCTGATGAAAGAACAGCCTTATATGGAACAGTAGGGGTTGTCAAAATAACAGAAGCATTATATTCTTGTTCTAGTCGCTGGTTGAAAACTTCCATATGCAAAAGTCCAAGAAATCCTAACCTCCAGCCAGCACCTAGAGCAAGGCTACTATCCCAGTGAACCGTCACACTGGAATCATTTAGTATCAGTTTTTCTATAGCACTCTTCAGGTTATTATATTCGGATTGGTCTATAGGGTACACTCAGTTTATGAGTTGGCTGCTCATTAGGATTCAGGACTCCTACATCATTAACTTCATATGTCTTTTGAGTGTGTGTAGATACAATTTTATCTCCTTTGGAAACCACTCCATCAAATAATGCTACATTGGCAATCACACCCTTATACTGGTCAAAGGTGGAGTCAAATACCAAAGCTCTCAGGGGATTTCTGCAATGCGCTTTAGGAGAGGGTATCCTTTTGATGACTGCATCAAGAACACTTTCAACATTTGTTCCAAGTTTAGCAGAAATCTTAATACATTCATCACCTGGAATATCAAACACCTTTTCAATTTGTTTTTCAACCCTTTCAGGATCAGCATTCTTCAGATCTTGTTTATAACTGGAATTATTGATAGCTGTGCTTCAAAGGCAAGAAAGAAGTTCGCTACTGTTTGGGCTTGAATACCCTCATTTGCATCAACCACAAGTAAAACACCTTGGCAAGCAGAGAGTGACCTGGATATTTCATAACTAAAATCAGCATGACCCGGCATATCGATAAGATTTAAAAGATACCGCTTTCCTTCACAGTTATGGAAGAGAGATGCCGTCTGTGCTTTAACAGTGATTCCTCTTTCTCGTTCCACTTGCAATTTATCAAGAACTTGTTTATTATTTTTTGTTTTATCAATTGCCCCTGTTAGTTCCAGGAGCCTGTCTGCTAAAGTACTTTTGCCATGATCCACATGTGCAACGATACTGAAATTTCTGCAAGCGTCCACATTCCCCTGCGCAACCGAGGCGTCAGAAGAAGGCCCCGGGACGCAACGGCGCCATCACCCCGGGCTCCGTTTTCTTCAAAACTGGCCCCCACTAAGAGCTGGCAGACAGGATTCAAACACACTTCGGCCAGCGGCGGAAAAAACGTGAGGAAGAAACACCTCACATCTAGCTGCTGCGGCCAGATGACCGAGAACCTGCTTTTGTTTTTAACAGGCTTTTTTTTTTCTTTCTTTTCTTGTAGCTGATTTCTAATCTCACAGAGATTAAGATGGAAAGATGCTGAAAAGATGCTCACTCAGAAAAGATGCTCAATATGATTTCAAATATATTAAATTGACCAAGGCTCTCTTTGTGGCCTAGCATGTGATCAATCCTGGAAAATGTTCCAGGTACACTTGAGAAGAATATATATTCTGTTACTTTTGGATGGCATGCTCTATAAATATCAATTAGGTCTATCTGGTCTAATGTGTCACTTAAGGCACGTGTTTCCTTAGCAGTTTTCTGTCTGGATGATCTGTCTGTCCGTTGATGAAAGTGGGGTATTAAAGCCTGCCACTATTATTGTGTTACTGTTGATTTCTCCTTTTATAGCTGTTAGTATTTGCCTTACATATTGAGGTGCTCCTATGTTGGGTGCATAAATATTTACAGTTGTTTTATCTTCTTTGATGGATCTCTTGATCATCATGTAGGGTCCTTCTTTGTCTCTTGTCACAGTCTTTATTTGAAAGTCTATTTTGTCTGATATGAGTATTACTACTCCAGCTTCTTCTGATTTTTTTTTGCATGGAATACCTTTTCCTGTCCCCTCACTCAGTCTGTGTGTGCCTCTAGATCTGAAGTGGGTCCCTTGTCAACAGAATATATATGAGTCTTGTTTTTGTATCCATTCAGCCAGTTATCTTTTGGTTGGAGCATTTGATTCATTTACATTTAATGCAACTATCAATATGTGCGTTTTTATTGCCAATTTGTTGTTTTGAGTTTGTTTTTATAGGCCTTTTTTCTGCCCTTCCTCTTTTCGTCTCTTATGATTGGACTGTCTTTAGTGTTGTGTTTGAATTCCTTTTTCTTTTTTGTGTGCATATCCATTGTAGATTTTCAGCTTGTGGTAAACCATGAGATTTTGAGATGGCAGTCTCTCTCTCTATATATATATATAGGATTAAGTTGCTGGTCTTTTAATTTCAAATGCATTTCCAGTTTCCTGTGTTTATGCCCTCTTTTCACAGTTGCTCATTTTGCTATATTTGTCTGCAGATTATTTCCTATCTTTATTGTATGTTTGCCTTTACCAGTGAGCTTTTCCATTTGTAAGGTTGTTTCTAGTTGTGGCATTTTCTGCTTAGAGAAGTTCCTTTAATATTTGTTGCAGAGCTTGTTTGGTGGTGCTAAATTCTTGTAGATTTTGCTTGTCTGTAAAGCTTTTAATTTCTTTTTCAAATCTGAACGAGAGCCTTGCTGGCTAGAGTATTCTTGACTGAATGTTCTTCCCTTTCATCACTTTAAATATATTGTGCTACTGCCTTCTGGCCTGCAGATTTTCTCCTGAGAAGTCAGATGATAATCTTATGGGAGTTCTCTCATATTTTTTGTTGCTTTTTCCTTGTTGCTTTAGTATTTTTTTGCCTTTAATTTTTGTCAGTTTGATTACTTTATGTCTCAGCATGTTCTTCCTTAGGTTTATCCTGCTTGGGACTCTGTGCTTCCTGGGCTTGAGTGACTGTTTTCTTTCCCATATTGGGGAAGTTCTCTATTATCTCTTCAAATATTTTCTCAGGGCCTTTCTGTCTGTCTTCTGCTTCTGGGACTCCTAAATGCTAATGTTGGTGCATTTATATTTTTGTCCCAGAGGTCTCTTAGACTGTCTTCAGTTCTTTTCTTTCTTTTTTCTTTATCCTGTTCTATGGCAGTGATTTCCACCATTCTGTCTTCCAGCTCATTTACCAGTTCTTCTGCATCAGTTATTGTTATTGGCTCCTACTGTAGTTTTCATTTCAGTTATTGTACTGGTTCATCTCTGTTCTTTCATTCTTCATGGTCTTTGTTTAAACATCTCTTATGTTTTTTCAAAAAAAAAAATAAACATCTCATGTTTTCTCAATCTGTGCCTCCATTCTTCTTCTGAGATCTTGGATCATCTTTACTATCATTACTCTGACGTTTTTTCCTAAGCATTTTGCCAATGTCCACTTAGTTGTTCTTCCAGGGTTTTATCTTGTTCCTTCATTTGAGACATATTTCTCTGCTGTCTCATTTTGCCTTTTGTGATTGTGGATTCTGTTCTGCAGGCTGCAGTGTTGTAGTTCTTTCTCTTGCTGTCTGCCCCCTGGTGATTGAAGCTGTCTTGTGCAGGCTTCCTCTTGGAAGGGACTGGTTCCTGACCACTCATGGGTGGAGTTGGGTCTTGTCCATCTGGTGGGCAGGGCCATGTCAGGGAATGTGATTATTGGGCAGCTGTGTGCTCAGAAAGACTTTAAACAGCCTGTCTGCTCATGGGTTGGACTGTGTTCCCTCTCTGGCTGTTTGGCCTGAGGCATCCCATCACTGGAGCCTACAGGCTGTTGGGTGGGACCAAGTCTTGGTGAGAAAAAGGCAGCTTCCAAGAGGACTCATGCCGGTAAGTATTCCCCAGAACTACTGTAGTGAGCCATAGCCACCCTCCAATTCTGCAGGAGACCCTCTAGTACTCGCTGCTAAGTCTGCCCCAGCTTCCTAGGAGGTTACTGCTTTTTCTCCTGGGTCTTGGTATACGTGAGACCCTGTGTGCACCCTTCAAGAGTACAGTTTCTGTTTCCTCCAGTCCTGTGAAATTCCTGTGATCAAACCTCACTGGCTTGCAAAGCAGATTCTTTGGGGGCTACTCCTCCTGTTGCCAGACCCCCAGGCTGGGGAGCCTGACATGGTGGCTCAGAACTTTCTCTCCTGTGAGAGAACTTCTGTGGTATAATTGGTATAATTATTTTCCAAGTGTATCCCATACACCCTGTGTGTACGAGATTTAATTTTATCACGATTGTGTCCCTTCTACCATCTTGTTGTGGCTTCTTTTTCTGTCTTTGGATGTAAGGTGTCTCTTTTGGTAGGTTTCAGTGTTTGTTTGTTTTGTCAGCGGGGTTCAGCAGTTAGTTGTGATTTTGGTGTTTATGTAAGAAGAGGTGACCTGGCTTCCTTCTACTCTACCTTCTTGTGTCCTCTCAAAAAGGATTTGTCTTTTCAGAACTGGAGAACTGGAGGCAGTGAACTGGCTGCTGGCTGATTGCTGGCTGATTGCTGGCCATCTGCACTTACAGGGCCAGGCTCCGTCTTTTCCACTCTGATGTGGGGTGGTGGGAAAGGAAGGCAGGAGGCAGCCGCTGCTGCCAAACACCTCCTCTGCTACCTTTTTACTTTTTAAATGTGGCTTCTAGAAGATTTAAAATTACATATTGGTGCACATTATATTTCTGTAAGTTAGCTCTGATCTAGAGTGCCATGAGGTGTGGGAGGTAAGAAAAGAGGCTATAGTAGGCCAGAAAATGTTAGAGCATGCAGGGCTTGTGATAAGGAAATGGAAACTATACATTTAAAAAGCATTGGCTGAAAGCCTCCTAAGTGCCAGACAGACACTTTTCTGGTCATTTGGAATATGTATCAATGAATGACAGGATCCTTGCAGCGTTTACATTTTAGAGAAGGCAGTAGGGGGAGGGTGTCAACAAACAACAAAAACAAATAAGCAAACACAAATACTAGCGTATGTTGGGAACGTTAAGAGCTATGGAGAAAAAAGGAGTTGAGCCAGGAATGCTGGGGGTGTGTCATGGAGTGAGGATCTTTGCCTTCTGTTAAGGTGGGATGGTTGAGGTTGACCTATTGAGGTTTATTTTGAGCAGAGAATTGAAGGAGCTGCAAGCCTGAGCCACATGTTTATCTGGGGTAACTTTTTAGAAAGAGGGACACAAAGCAAATACTTAAGGAGGAGAAGGCCTGGTGTGTTATAGAAAAAGTAAGCTTGGTGGTATAGAGCAGAGTGAGTTTTGAGGATAGATAGGAAGGAATTCAGAGAGATAAGGGGAATGTGCAGGTCTCATGGAGAAGAGTAGAAGCTGGAAGACCAGTTAGAAGATTATTTCAGTAGTCAGATAAGAAATGAGAGCAGCTCAGATCAAGGTAGAAACAGTAGATGCTGTGAGGAATAGTTAGTTTCTGGATGTGTTTTGATGGCAGAGTGAAAAAAGTTTTCCTGGTGTGAATATGGCTTTTGAAGTGGCAAGGATGACTCCATGATTTTGGTCTGAGTAACTGGAAGGAAGGAACTGCCTACTCTGCTGGGAGGGCAGATTTGGGATGCAGATGAGAAACAGTCCCCAAAGAATGAGTGAAGATAGAAAAATCCAAAGACTGAGCCTTGAGGCAGGTAATGTTTTAAGATTAGGGAGGAAGAACAAGCGAAGGAGACTGAGTAGCAGCTGTCGAGGTAGAAGAAAAATCACGTATGATGTCCCTGAAAGCCACGTGAAGAAAGTTTATCAAATAGCAGGAATGGATAAATGTATCAAATGCTGCTGATAGGAAAAGCATGAAGTCTGAGAGTTGACCAGTAGATTTACTAGAGATGACTTTGAGAATAATTTTTGTGGTGTTGGAAGTGGGTTGCTGGCAAAGTATGATTTGGAGTGAGCTGAACAAAGAATGAAGACCAGTTGGAGACAGTGAAAATATGTAACTCTTCAAGAGGTCATATTTCAATGAAAGTCAAAGCATTAAGACAATCAGTAAACAGAATTGTGGTCAAGAAGTATTTTTTTTAATGGGAGAAAGAATAGCATATTTGTGTGCTGAGATGCAATGATGCAGTAGTGAGAGATGGTTTGATTTTTAAGAGAGGGTCAAGTGCCAGAGTGACCTCTTTGACTAGGTGAGGGTTACAAGATTCAGTAAGTGGATGAGCAGGGAAAAACATTTATGATGGCAGTTTTCAAAGTGTGACTTCAGTGTCACCTGGAACTTATATTAGAAATGTAAATTATTAGGCCCTATCTCAGACGTCTTGAATCAGAAACTCTAA